CTGGCTTTTGCATTGGGTTTGACATACCTCAGAAAAACAAAGTCCAACAGCCTCTGTGCACAAAGTCCCATATGGGTGTTTAACTTTGTGTGAATGGGTAAGGTTAGGGCCAGCAACACTTGGGGGGTTAGGGTTAATTTGAGCTACACAATGCACTTATTGCACGGGCAGGGATGGACTTGCAGCAATGCGTATTAATGTTCATGTAGAATCTCCATCATTGCTGCTACAACATTTTGCAAAGAGAAGACCTTGCTAATGCTGGTGAGGACATCTCTTCCCATCTACCAGTTGTTACAGACAGCAAGGATGACTGCACTGGTGTGTGCAACTCAAAGGCAGCCCAAAAGTTATTGTTTAACCAGAAATTACCATTTACAAGGCTGCTTTCCCAAAATCTTGAAAGTACATGTACATACTGATGGTTACGGCTTCCTGTACATATATTTTGTAAAACACTTGCCAGGACAACAAGAGCACCTCAGGATGCAGGTTACAACTATGAACTATTGAAGCAGGCATGGAGTCGAATAACAGCCTTGTGCTAAAGACAGACGGCCATGCATGACTTCTGACTCTAAGCCATTGCATGGGGTATTTCAAACAGACCCAACTGAAGTCCATTTCTCCCTTTGCTTTGGTGAGGACTGGTCCAAGCTGTATTCCTTGCACTGTTTGGGGCTTTTCCTCATATCTTCACCGTGAACACCACCGGCCGCGACGAAGCTGCTGATGAGGCTCCCGTTTTGAACAGTGCCTTGTGGATGGTTGTGGCATCGATGGGGTCACTGTTGGGGCTCATTGCGTCTGATCTCATGCCGACCGTTGAGGGAGAGAAATCGGTAGTCCCAGATGCACCTGCCCCAATTAATCTGTGAAAGTCGGTGACAGGGACTACTAATTGACAATCTGAAATACTATTACTCATGCAGTCATAGTTGCAACTTTAAAGTTAGGATTTTATGTAGTTACACCATTGCCTAAATGAGACTCTGGGTGTTTGATTCGGCAACTGGGTTCTCCAAGATGCATCACACAATTTCTTCAAGCCCATACTGGATAGAATTGTTTTGTACAATGACATGGGTCAACACATTGGTCTGCACAAGTCTTTCGTGGTTTGATGAGGGCAGCGAGTTACCCACAGTGCCTTGCAGCACCTGTACTTCCTTCCCAAATTTTAAGAAAGAGGTTTAGCCACTTTCCAGAGCCCCAGCACTGGGTTCGGGCTAACTTCCACCCCAGGGGTTTGGGTTACTCACTTGAATCTCTCATTCATGGAAATGCGCTTTCCTGAGACGGGGATGTGAATGCCGCCGGCAGCCTCGGGTACGGTGCTGGTGTCTAGCTTGCACTGCATGGGCAGCCCATCCAGCTCACGGTTGTGGTACCGAGCAATGGCCTCAAGAGCATGTTCCCGCTTGATGTACACTACCTCGGCCAGGCCTGAACGTACCAGGCGTGCTTTCTTCAATGGTCCCACGTCTCCATACAATTCCTGCAGCAAACAGAGTTTTAGCCAGTGATATGCATGTTATGGCTAGCATGGGAATGAAATACCCTAACCAAGTAAAATGCAAAAGAGCCCACCTCCAAATTTAAAAAAAAAGTGGCAACCAAGAGAAGTGCATTCAAACACTTTCTACAACCTTTACCTATGAAAATTTGGGAAGGCATTCCACGTTGTTTTCAAAATCTTTCCACATGAAATTTCAAAGCCTTTCTTTAATATTTCCAAGAAGATACCAATTCAGTTCAAGCATGTTATGGGTATTCAGTGCCATATCAGGAAGCTGCTTCATAAACATTAATGATTGAGTACTAGAGCATCAAGGCCCTGATGCACAACCCTTGGTAACAAAGTAACTACATCATCAGGATGAATTTGCAGTGCTTTGAAAGTACTGAATTGGAATATTTTCCAATTTTTTTGGCACTGACTGCTCGGTACGTTCAAAGAGCTTGTGGGAAAAAAGCTTGCATGGTTTGACCAGATAGGATTCAAACACATGACCTCCTGTTAGCAGTGCAGACAGCGCAAGTATTCAACCACTATGCTTTCCACCACCACCAGTTACCCTGCCGTTAAAAACTACGGACAGAATATTATCCAACAGTTACATGGACAGTAAAGGAATTTTCAAACACTTCCTTGTCAAGGCACTAACCACCATTGCTATACAAACGTTCTTCATGATTACTGGACCCTACAAATGAAGCTTTTGTACTTCTTGTGTGTTTTATTCATTTACATGTATACAATAGATAATTCTATGCTGTTACATTTGATACATCAGAGAGCTTAGCATTTTGACCGATGGAGACGTTATGTAGTGAAAATGTTCATAATTTTTATTGATTTCTGTTGCACGTGACTTGATCTGTCACTCAGTAGCTATAGCAACTTGCAAACTCATTATCTTGGGTTGAATAGCACTTTGGTTCCATTAATTGTTTTCAAGCCTTTCATGTCATCAAGTCCTCCCTTTCAGCAATCTGATATAAAAGACACTATAATGACAATCACTTCTGTGACTGACGACGGTGGACGGGTAATAAAAGCTCACCTTAATGTCTGCTTCGGAGACACTGGAATGGAGGTTACTGACAATGAGTCTGGTACCCTGAGTCGAGGCAGCAACTGACAGAGGATCCTGGGATGCCACCCGCTGCAGTGCAGCCGTCTGTTGTACATTCTGAAAGCACACCAACAACTCCAGTAAGTCAAGCAGCAAAAGGAAAACCAAGTATTGTACTCGGCTGTACATGTACATGCCTCTAGCTATTAACATAAAGAAACTCAAGAATGTACTCTGCTCAATTCCACGTCTGGAAACACATAAAATGGAATGCACCGCAAAACCCCTGAATTGTCAGAACTGAGGCTGCGATTTCCCATTTTACATTTTTATACAATCCTTCCAATATGTTCATACAGCGACTATAAACCATTTTGAGACCACTTTATAACACAAATTACATGTGAAATGGACAGAACGAAACCAACAAAAAGAGCATTTACCCCCAATTGGAAGGGGCTGCCAAGGTCACGTGCAGAGAAGCCAAGGACATCATGCCTTACATCCTTAAATAGGGAACAGAGAAAGAAACACTCAGCAACAAAAAAGGCACAAACACAAACCATGCATCAAGTGCATACAAATATGGAATTATCCAGTGATATTAAAAGGGTTGCATCTATTTAACAAGGACACTTGACTCCAGAAATTGCCTGAAATTCCCATCACTGCTGTAGCTGAGACTTCCTTAAGACCACCACATGACCTCCAGTCTAAATTCAAGTCACAAGCTATTCACATGAATTGTGACAAAACCGTCCCTTTGTAACTGTTAACCCTGTTACTTGTGACTGGCCTTGAGACTGGCCTTGAGACTGGCCTTGAGACTGGCCTTGTGACTGGCCTTGAGACTGGCCTTGCAACTGGCCTTGTGATGGTCTAGACCACAGCACTAGTTTCCATCTCCAGAGCAAGTCAAACCAAAATGAAAAAAAGGAAAGCCACAGTGAAATCATAGACAGCTAACAAAGAAAAGCTACTGATGTACATACATGCAGTAAGAGTTGTGAAGTACGGGCATTTATACTTAAGTTTTAGACTGACTATTTTTTACCCTACCTTTTGATCTTGCAAATGCAAAGACAAGTTTTTAGGGAAACTTGCCACTGACTTGACTTAAAGCCATCTTTGTTTTCAGGGTAATTAAACAATGCAATTTTTAACTATGATCGTAAGTATTTCAATCATGGGATCTATGTGTTTATAGTATCTTTCTTTGTGCATTCAGTGAAACACTTCTTATTTTACTACCCTCTCTACTAACATTTTGACTTTTTCAGATAGGATATACAAAAGTTTTAAGATACTGGAGACAAGCATGTGCACATCACCCTCCAGATTCATGACAGCTTAATAGGTTAACAACACAAACAAGATGAACATAGTGTTTGCCATGGGACAAACACAAGCTGTTTCAGCAGAACATGTATTTTATGTGACGTAATCCAAACTGGCTTTATCATCATTACGTCACAATAATGTTATCGAATTTTAAAGTTTCCACTCCTAAAAACAATATCAACATTCCACTTTGATCATATTAGTTGTTTATAAGATACTAGCCTGTAGACAGTGCACCTTTAACCCTCCTTTGGTTTTACAGCACAAATGTGCACAAATGACCACAGTCACTGGTGAGCATGTATTTTCTATATGGAACTCAAAAATGCACAGGTTCAGTGTGTACACAGTAGGTTGTCAGCACAAAATGACCCA